TCGGAATTATGATTGATTGATTATTGTTAATTCCCTCGCTCCTCCTTCCGACTCGATCCAAGGAGTCGTACGTCCTGTCCATGATGCTCTACTCCGGCTAAAGCACAAACTTTATTTCCCTCCTTAAAAAGGTGCCGTAAAAGTACAACCCTATGAACTGCAAGTACAAAAGTTTGCTACAGTGCGTTCCTTGTTCAGTGCAAAACCTGTGCCTCAAACCTGCACAGATGCCTCTTGTATGTCACCAACAAGGCGCCAAGATGTCAGTCTATACTCATTTTATTTATTTAGGCCGGTGCAGGCCATTTTTGCTTTACAAGTGCACATGCGTGATTTTTTTTTGTGAGACCCCATTTTGCATTGCTGCCATTCACAAATTGCCCTGACACCATCAAACTGGAACGGCATTGTCCATCTTTGGATGGATCAATCAATCAATATACCTCAATTTAGTCATCAACATTCTACAACAACAACAACAAAGCCTTTAAGTCCCAAATAAGTTAGGATAGCCTAAAGTTGAAACCCAGCAGAAGCAAGGTTCAGGCACGTGAATAGCTGTTTTCCAAGCACTCATATCTAAGGCAAAAACTTTAGGTATATTCCATTCTTTCAAGTCTATTTTTATTGTCTCTACCTAAGTCAACTTCGGTCTTCCTCAACCTCTCTTCACTTTACTATCCTGGTTTAGGATTCCACTACGCACCGGTGCTTCTGGAGGTCTCCGTTGGACATGTCCAAACCATCTCAACCAGTGTTGAACAAGCTTTTCTTCAATTGGTGCTACCCCTAATCTATCACGTATATCATCGTTCCGAACTCGATCCATTCTTGTATGACCGCAAATCCAACGCAACATACGTATTTCCTCGACACTTATCTGTTGAACATGTCGTCTTTTCGTAGGCCAACATTCTGCACCATACAACATAGCAGGTCTAATCGCCGTCCTATAAAACTTGCCTTTTAGTTTCTGTGGTACCCTTTTATCACATAGGACACAGATGCTTGGCGCCACTTCATCCACCCTGCTTTGATTCCATGGCTAACATCTTTATCAATACCCCCGTCTCTCTGTAGCATTGATCCTAAATATCAAAATGTATCCTTCCTAGGCACTACTTGACCTTTCAAACTAATATCTTCCTCCTTCCGAGTAGTAGTGCCGAAGTCACATCTCATATACTCAGTTTTAGTTCTACTGAGTCTAAAACCTTTGGACTCCAAAGTCTTCCGCCATAACTTTAGTTTCTGATTCACTCTTGTCCAGCTTTCATCAACTAGCACTACATCGTTCGTGAAAAGCATACACCAAGGGATGTCCCCTTGTATGTCCCATGTGACATCATCCATCATTAAGACAAACAGATAAGGGCTCAAAGCTGACCTTTGATGTAGTCCTATCCTAATCGGAAAGTCATCCGTGTCTCCATCACTTGTTCGAACACTAGTCACAACATTGTTGTACATGTCCTTAATGAGCCTGACGTACTTCGTTGGGACTTTATGTTTGTCCAAAGCCCACCACATAACATTTCTTGGTATTTTATCATAAGCCTTCTCCAAGTCAATAAAAACCATGTGTAGGTTATTCTTGTTCTTTCTATACCGCTCCATAACTTGTCTTATTAAGAAAATGGCTTCCATGGTTGACCTTCCGGGCATGAAACCAAATTGGTTCATAGAGACCCGCGTTATTGCTCTCAAGCGATGTTCGATAACTCTCTCCCATAGCTTTATAGTATGGCCCATCAACTTAATTTTTCTGTAATTAGTACAACTTTGAATATCCCCTTTATTCTTGTAGATCGGTACCAATATACTTCTCCTCCACTCGTCGAGCATCTTGTTTGATCGAAAAATATGGTTGAACAGCTTGGCTAGCCATACTATAGCTATGTCCCCGAGGCATCTCCACACCTCGATTGGGATACCATCCGGTCCCATCGCCTTATCTCTTTTCATCTTTTTTAACGCCTCTCCGACCTCATATTCTTAGATTCTCCGCACAAAGCGCCTATTGGTGTCATCAAAAGAGTCATCCAACTGAAAGGTTGTGTCCATATTCTCACAATTGAACAATTTGTTAAAATACTCTTACCATCGATGTCGGATCTCATCCTCCTTCACCAAGAGATGCTCCATTTCTTTCTTAATGCACTTAACTTGGTTGAAGTTCCTTGTCTTTCTCTCATGAACCCTAGCCATCATATAAATGTCCTTCTCTCCTTCATGTACTCAAATGTTGGTAAAGATCCTCGTACGCTCTATCCTTTGCCACACTTATAGCTCGCTTTGCTGTCTTATTTGCCACCTTGTACTTCTCTATGTTGTCCACACTCCTGTCATGATACAAGCGTCTATAGCATTCTTTCTTCTCCTTAATAGCCCTTTGGACTTCTTCGTTCCACCACCAAGTATCTTTAGCCTCGCCTCCACTTCCTTTGGTTACTCCACACACATCTGAGGCCACCTTCAGAATGTTGGTTGCCATCTTCTCCCACATGTTGTTTATGTTCTCTTCTTTCTTTCAAAAGCCCTCTTTGATAACCTTTTCCCTAAATACCTCTGACATCTCCCCTTTCAGTTTCCACCACTTTGTTCTTTCAATCTTAGCTTGTTTATCCCTACGGGCACGCACCTGAAAACGAAAGTTTGCCACCAAAAGCTTATGTTGAGAAACAACACACTCCCCTGGTATCACCTTGCAACCCAAGCATGCTCGTTTGTCCTTTCTTCTTGCAAGGACAAAGTCAATCTAGCTAGAGTGTTGTCCGCTACTGAAGGTCACTAGATGAGATTCTCTCTTTCTAAAGAAAGTGTTGGCTATCATCAGGTCAAAAGCTACCGTGAAGTCCAGAACTTCCACCCCCTCCTGATTTCTACTACCATACCCAAAACTTTCATGAACTGCCTCGAAACCCTCGTTTGTAGTACCTACATGCCCATTCAGATCTCCTTCTATAAAAAGCTTCTCACTACTTGGTATAGCTCTAATCAGGCCATCTAAGTCTTCCTAGAATTGTCTCTTAGCACTCTCGTCGAGACCTACTTGGGGGGCATACGCACTAATTACGTTCAATACCATATCACCAACGACAAGCTTGACTAAGATAATCCTATCTCCTTGCCTTCTCACTCCCACCACACCATTCTTGAGGCTCTTATCAATCAAAATTCATACTCTATTTCTATTCGCGACTGTCCCTGTGTACCAAAGCTTGAAACCTGTATTATCCACCTCCTTCGCCTTCTGACCTTTCTATTTAGTCTCTTGAACACATAATATATTTACACGCCTCCTAGTTGTGGTATCAACTAATTCTCTTAACTTACCTGTAAGCGACTCTATATTCCAACTAACTAAACGGATCCTAATTGATTCGACTAGCTTCCTTACACTTCGCATCCGTCGACTCAAATGTGAAGACCCTTGCTCATTTTTCACTACACCCGGGCGCCGATGTAGCGCGCCACTAAGGAAGCGATGACCCGATCCTTGCTCATTTGACACCATGCCCAGATCGCGACACACGCGTCACCAAGGGGGTGCCGATCCAGCCCTTGCCCATTTAACACCATACACGGGTTCCGATATGGCGCGTCGCTAAGAGGGTTACGCCCCAACGGTTTTCTTTCGGGTTTCATCTCCATTAAAATGGCTAGATTTAACGTTGGCTCGCCACGCCTATCACAACCCTCCTCCTTTACCAAGGCTTGGGACCTGCTACGTTGAGACAACATAGGTGGAGTTTGTCATCAACGTTCTAGCAACAAATTAATTAATGATTGCTTCTGTGGTTGTGAACCAATTTTTAGTTCCTATTTAATTTAATTCTAGTATAAGCTGTGAGCCAATATTATATATACCCTATTCAAATCAAACCATTGATGATGAAAAACATGTCGTAGGGCACGATCGCTAAAAAAAAAATCAAACCATTGATGTGTAGCATAATTCTATATATACATCAGTTGATTTTCTTGGCCTTCAAGTAATTAATTTTGACCAAAATATCAACCACCAGATCTCTTTACATGTTTTTTTTCCTACTTCCATGTTCCATTAGGAAGATTTTTTACTTAAATAATAAACTTATAATAGGTTGACCGTCTACGAGAGCATGTGAAGAAATGTGGACTTGTGGAAAAGATTGAGCTGGTTATTTGTTCTCCTTTATTGAGGTACAGTTTTACATGACCTTTTCGTTTGTTGTCCTCAATCCTCTTGTAATAACCTTCCTAATGTTTAAGAAAAGGTGTTCTTCACTGTTGGAAATGTTTTTATTACTTCTTAGAAAAAGGGGGAAAATATCAGCTAGCTTATAAAAGGAGACTAGATCGATTCAAACCAAATTTCATTTTCCTTGCTCTGTCTATATGTCAGTTTTTGCTTAGCGAGTTTGATAATTTCAGCATATAATTGTGCATGTTCAGCTTAAGGTACTAAGTCCTGCCAAAGGGCACCTAGCTCAAACGGTTAGGTGACCCAGTGGCACTCCTCAGGTCTTGGGTTCGACTCCCCGTGGGAGCGGATTTCAGGCTGAGGTTAAAAAAATCCCTTCGCCCATCCCCAAGTGCCAAAGCACAGTGGAAGGCTCCGGCCCGGTTCTCACAGGGTTACGGCACCTCCTGCGTCAGGATGGAGACGGGGGTTAGGGGGTTTTCTCGATCTGTGTGAGAAGATCTTCTTAACGGAAAACCCGGGGCCTGTCATAACCCCCGGCAGATAGAGTTTTTTTTTAAGGTACTAAGTCTTGGTTTTCCATAGAAGTCCAGGCCCTTATTGTTGTTAACTCAAAACTCTGCATTTCTGGTTCTAGATGTTGGAGTGAAATTATGAGATTTACAAGTGCATTCTTGCGTGTGTTTGTGCCCTCTCTAGCCCAACATGAATTATATTCACCCCCGGTTGAGGCATAGTATACTTTCAGAGTACATTGCAACTTTACGAAATAACTAAAGGGGCCTCACTATATTTCACTATGGTCTAAAGGACTATGCAGACTGCAGTAGGAGTTTTTGGTGGTGAAAGCTACAGTAACGGTGTGAGTGTGCCTCCACTGATGGTGGAAAATGCTGCAGACAGTGGACGCCCGGCTGTTTCAAGTCTGAACTGCCCACCATTTCTTGCTGTTGAGGCCTGCAGGGAGCGCTTGGTACGTACTTCCTTTTTTTTCTGAAGAACACACTCGTAAAACATGAACAGATATTAACTAGGTTAGGGTATACTTGTTACGTGCATGCATCTTGCTGAATGAGGTTATGATAATCCAGTGTCAGCCTCAGTTGCATTGGGTTTTTGGTAACAGAGTTGTGTAATTCAATTTTATTCTGTTTGATCATCATTACCGTTAAATGCAGGGCGTCCATCCTTGTGACAAGAGGAGGAGCATAACAGAGTACCGTACTCTCTTCCCTGCCATTGATTTTTCGCTGGCAAGTATCTCTTACTCATAGCCCATGAGCTGTTTGGTGGATTTCTTTATTCGCTGTGGTGTTCCAAGCTTATAGTGGTTCACTGCTATAAGAATAAGATATATATGTATGCACTCCTTTTGTTTTACAGATAGAGAGTGATGAAGATGTTCTCTGGATACCAGATGTCAGAGAGACCTTTGAGTCACTCGCAGAAAGGGGTATGAAGTTCATTGACTGGTAATTCGTTTTCCCCTCTAGTATCAGTTCAGTTCATTTCTTTTCTGTGAATATATATATCACCATGCAACTTTATGAGCGCCTAGTGTTGCCAACGTCATTAATAAACAACTTCTCATTAATTTGGTATTATGAATAATCACACAATCAACATCTTGTTCTTAGGATCTGGAATTGAACACATGCAAATTACTTGCAGGTTATGGACAAGAGAAGAGAGGGAGATAGCCGTCGTGACCCATAGCGGTTTATTATGCCATACCTTACGCATGTACAGCAAGGAGTGTCATCCAACCGTAAGACAAGAAGTGAGCAAGTAGTAAGTGTCTTTGATATTTTTCTTATTATTTTGCTTGCAGTTTTTCTTTTTCGTTTAATGAATTACCCGCCCGATGCACATCAGAGGCTTATATATATGTGTGTTGCTGACTTTGGCTTGGTTGTTTTATGTGCAGCTTTGCAAACTGCGAGCTCCGGTCCTTGGTTCTAGTTGACAGGAGGTCAGTATGCACTGCAAGCACCCTTATATAGAATCGCTAAAACGAAATGAGAACACTTTGCAAGAGCACTCACAATGATTTTATTCGATCTTGTATATATGATGCAGTATGCTTGGTTCAGATCGCCCCAATTACAACTACCCTGGCAAAATCCCAGCCGGACTTGATCTGCCCAGCGATGATGTCGTCGCTGCTGACAAGAAGCAACCTTGCATTGAGGAAGCTCAAGAGAGAGCCTGAGCCTGCCAGAGGCTTGTTTGGTGTTCACCACTGATTCCTTGAGGTGGCGTTTGGAAGAGGTGGGTATGGGATAGGAATATAAGACTTTAAACCCGTACCCTTGTTTGGCATGAGTGGGATAGAGAATGGAAATAAAATTTTTAGTGACCATAATACCCTTATTCAGGAAAAAAATAAACCATCACAAAGCTATAGCTCACATCTGATCAATCGCTTGACATGTACACAAAATAAAAGCGCAAAGGGCTAAAACAACTTTTTGAAGCATCGATTCATTAAGGCATAGTACATGCATACACTCCATCTGTATATATTCCAATGCCAATAAATTTCCACCATGATGCCAAGTCTCTAGAAGTCATCCTCTAACTTTAGCAACAAAGTATACAGCTTAACAAAATATACAAACTTCCAACCAGACTCCTAGTAACAGGAAGTCACCTTTGCTTCTGACTTCACAGCACCAAAATTTACTCCACTGGATTCCAAGTGATTGTAACTCACTTGGAATTTTTGACTACACATATCAAAATATACAGATGACCATCATCCAAAAGGAAGTTCATAGTTTTGGTCAACCATGGTTGACCACTTCCACTAAGGCACTAATTGGGAGTTCAGCGTGCCACTTATATACTACACAAAAGAGAGCACACGATCTCCACATGCATGACTAAATTATAGTTTCTTTTTAGATTTTTTCAGGACTCGCCGAACAAACTCAGGTTTGAATTCATCTGGAGTAGTAAAGAAAAGATTCAGCCTTTCCTCATTCTAGCCAATCATTAGAGCAGCCTTCACGATTTGATCCGAAGTAAACTCAGTAAACTTTGTGAGCACGGTGAACAATTTCTCCCTCCTTTCAACAGTCCGCTTTTGAGCCTCAAGTTCCTGGGTGAATGCACACTGCAGTGCATTCATAGCCTCTGCATTGGCTGCTTCGACTTGCACAAGACTATTGAGTGCTTTAGAAATATTAGAGAACTCCGATGCAACCATGCCATCATCTACAAATACCCTCTCACGGCAGGATGCAGATTTAATTCCACTTGCTAGGATGCTACCATGGGATGATGGTTGTGAATGGGAGTCAACTGCATTTTCGAACTGGTGGGTTGCTTCAGTCACATTTCCTGAGGATAGTTCTTCGTGCATTTCAAACTGATCTCCAGGGTCTTTGGCCTTCACTCCTTTTGCTAAGTCACTAGCATAAACCTCAAATAGCTTATCAAAATTCACAAAGGGCTTCCCATACAAAGCTGCTGCTCCAGGGCGACTCGGCATACATATTATGCTATTAGCAAAAAATAAATGTGATTGGAAAAAAAAGTATGGTACATGTGCATGTCCTTGTATACCTTTGCCCAACCCATGAATTGCTCTTTGTCTCCAACAACCATTTTTCTTTCATCATCCCAGCCAAAGCCACTACCAGATTGTTGAATATCCAATATATAGGACAATAGCTTCTTAACTGTCTTCACTTTAGAAGCAACATGAGGATCAGCTTTGATATTAGCATTTGGGAGTCTTGTAGCGAGCACTTTCTCAATAAACTGAAGGTACCCAGACTTGTGACATGTGTCCACCTTCCAACCAGAGTCATTCATTTCATACAATACATCAATAAGTACCTTTTCCTCTTATGCAGTCCACTGTCTCTTGTCTCTCCTCTTACTTAGCTTTATAGTTTTGCGTCCCTTATACGTCTATTTCATACAAAAAAAATCCGAAGATGTATACAAATGATTAGTGCATGAAATGAAAATTGCATTGAATACAGACACATGGTACTAAATAAAACATTAAAAAATAAGATGTGTCGATACACAAGCCATAGTCATCAGTTCATTAACCAAGCATCAAGCTCAGTCCACACCACCATTTTTCACAATGTTCAAAATTACAGAACAATAGAGTAAGCTACAAAATCCATGCGAAGCATTACAATGCCAAGTTATCGGCGACATTTTGCTTTCCATGCATCCCACATCATACTTGCTAAAACATCTCTAAATTTCGTCCACTCAGTTGACGATTCAGTACGGTCAATCACACCTAAGGTGTTGCCTTCATGCTCCAAGAAAGCATCAACTTGTGGCTCAAATGGATCAGCACTCATTTGTTGTCGGATGAGATTGTGCAGATAGCAACAGGCTAGGATTATACCAATTTGGGTATCTATTGGGTAATAAGAACCATGCTTTGAAAAAGCACCCCCATGATGCATCAAGATATTGATACACCCTGGAGCCATTATCTCTCTGTATTTGTGAAGTCAATGTTAGGTAAAAAAAATAATTCATGCATAAAATGGCATATCCCTATGGATGCAGGCTAATTACACATGTGAGGATACATTAGTGAAAATTACCACCGAAATAAAGTGGCGTAATGTACATACTAGTGACATTGGTAGGCAAGACCAAAAGCATGCATATATCCTATATAAGATCAACGCACTAGGCTAATAAAGTAAGTAAGAGAGCACTAGTACTTATTATTAGTTAATCTAGAACGCATCTGGGAACAAACCGACCAACAGTGATTCTTTCCCACCTAATTTTTCTATACATGAAACTTCAGATTGGTTGGACAGGATGCACAACCAATCATCAAGCATGGGGGAGAAAGCAGCCATCTATCAACGAAAGAAGTAAAATGGAGGGCAGGAACTGAGACGGGATGGAAGAATTAGAAAAATCACCTGCTCAAGCTGGTCAGCGGCCGCGTTGCTGGAGCCAAGTAGGATTCAGGCGGGAGATTTAGCCAGGGCCGACCGTGCTTGCGGACACAAGGCCAAGCGGCGACGATGCTGCCATCGAGGCGACAGGCGAGGGTTCGTCGAGGCACTCGGGTGCGCGCCTGCTGGGGTGCCGGGACGCGAGCGCGTGAAGGCGCGGGGGCGCGCGCAGTGGAGGCTGTGGACGGCGGCGGCGTCCAGGTAGGCGCGCGTGCTGGAGGCCGGGGGATCCGAGATGAGGGAGACGAACAGAGCACCAAGCTTTATGCAGAGTCACTTTTTCGATGGTAAAAAGGTAATTTCGTATGCCACTTCACCGTATCCCGCCCAAACAAACCCGCGTCAGTGGGTTTTGAACGATAAAGCGCGAAACCCATACACATACCGTGTCTCTTCCCAAACCATATACCCAAACGTGGGTTTGGATTAATTTCTTCTTCTATTTCCCTTTCCCACGCCCTGTTTCCATATATCCAAACGCCACCTGATTCTTTTTGTCATCCCGTTCTGAAACTTCCCTAGCTGCATTCAGTCGAAGCTGAAGATACAGCATCTACAGAGAGTACGATCATTGTTTCACCTGTATCCTCTGAACTTTCCATTTGTGCCTTCTCCTGATCTGCAACAGCCCACCTTCTCCTGATCACTCAGGGGCTGTTTGGCACAGCTCCTTGCAGCTCCGGCTCCTCCATTGTACAACACTGTAGCGACATTGTAGCATGGAGCCGGTGAAGCTGCGAATCATGGCTTCTCCGGCTCTTCTTTCTAGTTCATTTTTCTTCTCGGAAGTGAAATGACTCCTTGCTACAGTACAAACAATGATGCTATAGGAAATGAGAGGAGGAGCCGAGCCGCCCGGAGCTGCACCAAATGGGGCCTCAGGAGCGGTTGCTCTCTTCTCTCTGTGCCTGGGCCGGAGTAAGAATTTGGCCCAATGCCTAGACCTATTTCCAATTGGGCGATATTTTTTTTTTAATATATCTAATCAAATTTGAAATAGTTTGGCTTTGTAGCCCATAAGACAATTGTATCTTCCTTAAATTTGAAATAGTTTGGCTTTGTAACCCATATAAGACAATTGTATCTTCCTTTACTTTAATTTGTCCTAGCTTCGCGGGTACAGCTGGACTCGGTCTGCCTTCCAATGTCGCTGAAACGAAGCGCCCTCGAGGAAGCTCAAGAGGGGACTGCACTCCTTGCCATTTGTTACTTCATCCGTATTGGTAAATTGATGGTACTACCGTATTAGCGTTCTCATTCCTTTCAGGCCTAAAACATCTTGACAGTTTATCAAGTAATAACTATGCTACAAGACGCAGCAGAGCAGCTTACCCGTGGGCCGTGGCTCCATGAACACACGCAGATACAAAATTCACGGCAACTATATAAATATAAGAAACCCTAAACACAGCCATTACAATCACACACAATGGATAGCACTGGATACTGACACAACTGTGAGTGATCACGATCCAGCAGCCTCTGGATTATTTGTCAAGACCATTATTGACTGCTCCACAGGCAAACCGTGAAAAAAACATTCCAATGCAGTTCTACTTGAAGCAACAGATCATAAATAACAAAATCCATTGTGACGGTGAGTTACAGCGCGGCATGTCGAAAACATCAAGTATCTACTACGCCTTATTATTCTTTGCCATCTCTTCCACATCAAGCTCCACTGCCAGTACTGGGCCATCCTGTTTCATGGCCATGCCGCTGTTGCACAGACAGTAGGAACAAACATTTAGCCCATGCACGGTGTAGGTATTAAATGTAGATGGATATAGCAAAGGAACAAACCTGTTCTCGACTTGACCGTGATCAACAGCCGTTCTTAAAGAGTATATCACTCTGCCAAGGATGTCAGTCATTGGGACAGGTCCAAACAAGCGGCTATCTCTAGCTTCCTGTTGCCAAACCAATCATGAAAAACTTTTACAAAAATGGCCTTTGTTGAAATGCAATACACTTAGTCACCAAAAATACAAGTCGTGCATCTAGAATACGTGACAATATCTCCGTTTTACACAACAAAATTGTGTACAACACCAACTAGCATAATTACACATGTTACTGCTACAAGCATTATTATATTAGCTCAATAACATACATACATACCTTTGGCTTGAGGGCTAGGTTGTCTGCCAGGACCCAGCATTGGTCTTTCTCAAGTACAAACGGCTCATCCTTCTCATCATTAGAGACCATCTCATAGCCTTCCAGGGCAGCCAGTCGTCGAATAATTAAATCATCAGATTTCTCTGGGTCTTTTAACAAGACAACGTCCCCAACAAACACTTGTCTGTGAAGATAATTTGATACACAGCAGACTATTAAAAACATCTCAAGCAATAGATGATGCCAAATGGCCTTTGGCTATCAGGTGAAGTGGCTTTACAAACCAGCCAACCAGGTTTCCTTCATGTTGAGGCCTTATAGAGTTTTTACAAAAATGCAAAATAATAGCTATTCCATGAGATCCAACAGTTGACTTAAAAGGAGGTATATCAGGAAGTTCAGCACATACATGACAGAAGCTTGAGAATCAACTAAACTTCACATAGTCAACAGTTTGAAAATAATGTTGCTTTATACAAATAGATGGACTGTGATTGACAGCTGTTCTTAAAGACTATTGCAAGAAAGGAATGTAGTACCATTGGATTCCATTATGCATTGACTGCATTAGTTGATTATCAAATATGCAAATGAGCTTTTGTGTATGCATGGTTTATCAGGTATGTGTTAGGCCTGAGCTAGATTGTACTCTGGGCAAGTGGGCACTACATAAATCTGCACCAAAGCCCATTTCTGGACCAGTGAGAAAACCATCACCCATCTATTGCATTGTTACTCAACTCCACAACAGCTCCAAGCAGTGAATAACAGAAAATCCAGTACTTGTAACTGTTTATAAAACCTTTTTTTTGTTTACAGAAGTACTTTTTTAAAGTTATTTTTCCAATAACATGACATTTTTCTATTTTTCAACACAAACATTGGCTAAATTTCAAAATCACATTGTTGAACTGTGATCAGGTTCGTTTCAAGGGCAGTCTGGTACAAGAATCTAATTAAGAATTGTACCTAGGGGCATCTTTAGTCTTTACCAAGCTGTGCAATATAGATAGCTTAGTTAATGAGATGGATATTAACAAACTTCGCTGCTTAGTTGATTATTTCTGTTTTAGGCTTAGTCTGTACCATGCTGTGCAATATAATTAAACATTGGCTAAGCGGTTCCTGGGTTAGTTTAATAATAGTTTTTGCAGTAGGAAACAGATTAAGAAGAAATTGACATGGTAAGACAATATTAGTTTACTATTATTTAATTCTTTGCAAAACAAGACATCCTTAGTTCATGCATTCTTTGCTGAACAAGGCAAGATAGCATTTGAGGGAACAGTGACCCAAGCCCGAACAGGGAAACTACAAAACAGAGTGTAAAAAAAAAGAATGCCCTTACTGCAAATTGTTTACTCAGATGGAAATACATTGCTATTGCATGTTCTCAGGTACGAATACAGAGCACAAGCAAAGGGAGGTCAAACCAAAAGACGTACAGAACAAGTTGCAATCAATGGTTTGGTGCCCACATTTTGTCCATGAACTTCAGGACGAATTCTGTACTAATCAAGGCTCCAAGATGAGTATTGTATATGGATGGAAACCTTGTCAAGTCTACATTCAAATGTGCAAGACTGACCCTCATTTGGATTGTGCAGAAAGAATTGTGCATATTTTGGTGTAAGCTGTACCAGGCCCACAAAACAAGACTGGGCTAAGTGAACACAACCAGCCCAAATAGGAAGGATACTCTCCTAAAACCCTAACAGGAATCAAGTTCAGAAAAATAGAGAAGGCGAGCGCTCTTGTTCTTTTCCATAGTTGCCTCCCTTGAGAATCGGGACTTGGGAGTAACTCTCTACCTCTTGTGTTCTTGGGCATCCTTGTGATTGCACCAGCTTGTCTACTTTGCCTGGTTCAGTAGACATTGATTGAGCAAATACTTGGGACGAATTCTTTTTATCACAGATTGTTGTCCAGACAGATGTAGCATGTTCGTGCCCTCGATTCGCCAGGTTATGGATCAAGTGATCTCCACGATCCTAAGACGAGAAGATCGGGCAAGCACCCACGTCATAATTACTGTATTTGAAGCTCTACATCATATAGATCAAGTCACCCTGGTTGTGTGTACACACTAAAGGTGAGCACTGAGCAATACCAATGAAAATCTCAGGTAACATCCCAGTACAAGAATATATAATATAACTTTACACATACAAAACCTTGGCTTCGGATACTTAGCAGTTGAGGCACAGACACTGTCAAATTTTACTAGTTCCAACGTATCGCAGACAAGTTCAGTGAATTTTATATGCTATACAGGACCAGGTAAGAAATAAAAATGTGAGAGGGGAAAGTAAATAAAAAGTATAGGAGTAAATATTAAAAAATGGTGCTTCCAAGATTTCAATTGAATTTAGCGAATGAACTAGTATTTTATAAATTGTCATCTAAAGTGTTCCCTGTTATTCAACTTTTGAAGTAGGGTGAAGATACTTAATTTTCAGCCACGATAGAAACCTTGGGCACAGGCATACATTGCTGACTAAGGAATAGCATATTAGTGACTGGCAACATCAAAAAAGAGGAGTGCAGCTAACAGAGAGCAGAGGAGAAAGGAAATTAATTGCTTACGTGGGGCTTAAATTTGCCAGCTTTCTGACAAGGAGGGTTCCTCCAGTTGAAGATACGATGGGAGCCATGGCTTCTCCCCCTTTGGTCCAATGCGTGTAGGTGAGCTTGCCTTGGAAGAAGTTTTTCCATATCGCATCAGTTAGCTCTGTACTGTTGATCTGGCCCACATTATATTTCTGCTTGGATAGAGACACAGAGAAGAGAAATGCATGGATAAGAAAAGAGTTGAAAGAAAAAATGTTATAAAATGACGATGCGAAATGAAGAAAAAAAATGTGATGTTGTGCTTGCGGTCTTGATCAATGGGTACAATCGACATCCTATCACTGAGCAGACGATATGAAATCAAAGTAGAAATGTAAGGGAATGAAGTCCATGTTATGCTACTATTCCTTAGTTGTGGCTGCTGTCAACCTATTCAAATAGTTAACTCTAAGCTAGTGTACATCAGTGTTCTGATCAAGGGCAAATGGATTGAACAGTGTAGTAGAATCAACGAGTGTACAGACACAAAGATAGATAGGGGCAATTAATTACAGGGCAAGATGTGCTGCTACTAGGATGCTTGGATCCAGAGAGAGGGTGGAGTAGGATTTAGAAGAAACATGGGGATGGGGATGGATAGGTGCAGTACCTTCCACGAGAGGGAGATGGAGTACTCGAACTTGTGCGCGGCATAGCGGAACCAAGTCGACAGCGAAACCATCCTCCCCAACCCCTGATTGTAGGCTGCCCAGCTCTTCCACGCCCTCCTCCAGGAGCAAACGCACTGATCCCCACCCCTCTGCTTGGGGGAGGGGGTTCCTCCTGCTCGGTGGCGGCGGCTGGTGCTCCCCGCAGTCCGCAGTCAGAGGATGGAGAGGGGGCGCTGGCGGCGGCGGAGGTGGTGGTGGAATGGAACTATGGAAGCGGCGGCGGCCGCGTCGCGTCGCGTCGCGCAGGTAGAGGGGCCTAGGGGGGGACCCTGAGATTTTTCCCTATCCGCAGTCCGTGCACTGCATAGGGGAGGGGAAGTAGGCGGGCTTCTCTAACCTAACCAATTCGTGGGCTGGAAAATGGATGGGCTGGGCCTGGGCCTCTTTCACTTTTGAGTGAGAGTAGGCCTCTATGAAATTACTTAGACTATGTTTGGACCTCCTATGAAAATCAAAATCTCTATCTCTATTCTATCTTCTATCTCCAACTAAAAAAATACGAAGTGATACCGTCTGTCCAGCTCCCTTCGATTCACCTCGTGATTGCCCCAACCGGCCTCGCCTCATCTCTTTCCCGCGCTAACGTGGCGTTCGGCATTGGTAAAAAAAAAAAAAAGGAAAACCAACCCTATCCGACTCGCCTCATCTCTTTCCCGCGCGAAGGTCTAACAAGTTTGCTAAGGGTTAGACATGAATCGAGTATATTGCTTACACTTGAAGATCGTATCCTTGAAGTGTATCAAATGTTCAATAAGAAGGCAAACCTGATGGTACCCTCACATTGAATTCAAATGAAGGCCAAAGTCATGTATCGTTGTGTTAAGAAAATTATGGGAACAATCTAATTCAAGCAGAAGACAACAATGCAAATGGAGTTAATGAAATGACTTCTGTGTTGTGGGTATCATGGCATTATGTGAAAGCAAGCATATTTGACAAATGGAAAATGAGGCATGAGTTGATGATTTTGGATTGGTCTCAATGGTGGCTTGCCTTGAATGAACAAGAAGAGATTAATAAGTTGATTGGCTTTGATCAAATATGGAAGAATAGGTCAATAATGCACAAGTGAAGAAATGACAAGCAAAGATCAAATAATAAAGGAGATAGTATATATTGGATACAATATGGTCTAGTATATACTAGATACAAGATGGTCTTACTAATGGGTTGCTTGTATGGATGACAAAGATTTAGAAAGTCACTATGCATTCATATTGATCGAGCTAGAAGTATTAAGAATGAATATCAACAACAATGGCATTATAAAGAAACAACAAGCCAAGAAGAAAAAAGGATGAAACATGAGTGATTGCATATGGATTGGTCTCATATAGAAAGCTTGCTAAAGGAAGTCAAGTATGTTGATAGTGAAGTGTGTCAAGATAAAATGAAGAGGATACAAGGAATCATGATTTGGCTTGACTATATTGATGTTAATCAAGACATGTGATCAAAAGAGATGGATTTTCAATTAATTCTTAATGTTTGTTCAAAATATGCCATGACTTGAGGATAGCTCGATAGGGTGAAGATAGCAAGGAAAGGGCTTCTAGGTACTAAGCGAAGGTGAAGGGCAAGCAACGGGCTTGGAGACCAAGGAACCATGGCTAGGGTGAAGAAGAGAGTACTTGCATTGAATCAAGGTACTAATTGAGCTACGAGGGGTCATATTATATGAAGGATCAAATCATTGTTGGATCATAAGTGGAAGTGACTTGAAGCCATGAATGGAACTCTCAAGTTTGAAATGGTTCAAGTCACAAGCTCAAGGTTGATTTGCTCAAAGGATTGAGACAAAGATGGTTGCAACCCTTATGAAAGAGATATTGAGAAGATACGACATACGAAGACATTGAAGACTCGAGTGGTTAAAATAGACATATTTTCTTGATCTTGAGTATAGCTATGACATACTATCAAGGGGGATGCAAAATGAATAGTTTGACAAGTCTTAAGTGCTCAAACTAATCAAACCCTGAGTGCTAACATGAGAGAAAAAATTGCACAACACTTGAACCTATTGATCTTGGGGCTTGTTCTTGGTTGGGTTAGATAGCCCTTGAAACAAGCCTTCCGAAAAGTCCAAGATCATCGGAAATGGAGTTTGGTGTAAGAAGTCATGGCATTTTTCATGAGGTGACCTGTGTTGTTTTTCTAGGTTGCGGATGTTTCGCGACTCGGAGATTACGCACATAGTGTAGAAGTTCCACAGTCTGTGGGTCATAATGGCTAGTTTTGGGAGTGGGTGTACATGTACCCATCCCATGGCCCCAGGTTGAGTTGCTGGCTCCAAAGTGATACTAGAGACATTCCAAAGCCTTGTGAAGCTCTCCCAACCCCTCTCTTTATGAGAGTGAAGTTCTTAGTGGTGACTAAGTGTTGGTGTGAGAGATTAAGAGTTACAAAGCATTTAAGAGCAAGCCAAACCTTGAGCACTTGTTGGTATTCATCATACTTCATGAACCATTTGTTACTCTTGGAGGGGAAGCCTCCTAGACGGCTAGGTGTCATCGCCCAGTAAGCTCCCGAGCTTGTGGTGAGCCACGAGAAGTTTGTATTGCTCTTTGTGAAGCTAGTGGAAACCCTCAAGCTCTATCTTTGTGGATCACTTGAGAATAGGTGGGAGTTGAAAGAGACTCCAAGCCTTTGTATGGCTCCCTCAACAATGAGGATGTAGGCATGCCTTGGTGGCTCCATGAACCTCGAGGTAAATCTTGTGTCTTCCTCTTGTTGTTGTGAGCTTACCTCTTGTGATTTGAATCACAATGTTTGCTTTCCACTCGTTCTACTTTGTTGTATGTGTTTGTGAGTGTAGGTACTTTGTGGACTTGCTACTGGACATCTCCAAACACCTCTACAAGTTTGGTTTGACTAGAACTCTAGGTGTACTTATTATTATTTTGAGCTTCTCTATGTTGTGTGGAAGTTTCACGAAATAGCATGGAAGTTCCACACTCTCGCTAATCTGTTGTGAAGCTTTGTTTGTTGTTAATTTTTAGAAATGCCTATTCAACCCCCCTCTAGCAACATCAAGGTCCTTTAAAATCTCATGATTATCTCCAATCCTCTCTAATCCGTATGTGTATGCTTAATGCAAGGAATTCAATTTCTCTCTCCAAATCTATCTCCCTCACATGGATGCAAGAAGACTAAGATTATGAGCTTGAACATGGGACCCAAGATCATTAACTCATCGAGTTAAGTTCATTAATCCCTTTTCTTGAATTTATCTCCCTCAATCATGATTTATCAATTCCTAAACCTAGCTCTAGAATTCCAAAAGTGGGATCAAACCCTAGGCTACACAACACTATGAAAGGTCCTAATATGGCTAGAGGGGGGTGAATAGCCTATTTAAAAATCGACAAGATCACTAGAGCAATTTGATTAGTATGACAAATAGTGAAATGCAAACTTACTCTAGCTCTACAAGGGTTGCAAGCCACCTATCCAATAATTCTAGTTACTATAATCACTAGGCACACAATTGGCTAAGTCACTATTCACTAAGAGTTCTCACATTTGCTACACTAAAGAGCTCCACTAGATGATATTAAGCTACAAAGCAAGCTCTCAATTCTAGTTACACTTAAGAGCTTGCTACAACTAGTTTACGGGAATGTAAATAAGTGAGTAGGGTGATTATACCGCCGCGTTGAGGAGTGAACCAATCACAAGATGAATACTAATTCAATCGCCGGGAGAATACCAAAGGGCAAGTGACAACCAATTTTTCTCCCAAGGTTCACATGCTTGCCGGCACGCTAGTCCCTGTTGTGTAGACCAACACTTGGTGGTTCGGTGGCTAAGAGGTGTTGCACGAACTTCATCCACACAATTGGACACCGCAAGAACCTACCCACAAGTGAGGTAACTAAATGATATAAGCAATTTACTAGAGCTACCTTGCGGCTCTTCGCAGGGGAAGGTGCATGACCCCTCACAATCACTGAAGCCGGCCACGAACAATCACCAACACGTGCCGAAGCTCCTCCACTGCTCCAAGCCATCTAGGTGGCGGCAACCACCAAGAGAAACAAGAAATCCGTAGCCACAACGATCCTCAAGTGTCACTAGATGCAATCACTCAAGCAAATGCACATGGAATCACTCAATCTCACTTTGAATTCACAATCAAGCAAGAGAGATGAGTGGGAGGGAGTATGCCCAGCTCACAAGCATGTCAAGAATGTCAAATGGCCAAGAGAGACATCCCCAAGCTGACCAAACACTATATATAGACACCCCAAATGAAATAGAGCCGTTATGCTCAAAGGGGTGCCTCTGCGCATTGACCGGACACGCCGGTCACGTTGACCGGACACACCGCACGCCAACGTCTGGTCACTCGGATGCAGCCACGTGTCCCCTACGTTCAAACCTCAACCATCCGATCTCAACGGTCAACTCTTAGTCACTCGCATGTTAAGTGATGATCGGACTCGCTGAAGATGTCGCGCGGTCAGAGTCCGGTCGGTTCTAGTAAGCTCCTAGAGCATGAAAATCGTGATCGGACGCATCAGGTCAAGGTCGACCTGACGCGCCCTAGCGTCCAGTTAGTGTCTTGCTCCAACGCACGCTCGCTCAAGGCTGACGTCAGTGTACGTCAACACGCACCTAACGCAAACCCTGCGTGTCCGATCGTGCTACGCCGCCTGCTCTCAACAAGTGACTGGACACGCCGAAGCCAACGCTGGTCGATCCTTCTCACTCTCGGCCAGAGCAGCGCCACCACCTATAAATGACCGGACACGCCAAGGAGAGTCCGGTCACCCCACGACCAACATCTGGTCGTGGACTTTTAGCTCATTTTCTTTTTCTAAGTCCACAACTACTTCGCCCTTGCTTCCAACTTGCTAACCACAAAGTGTAGAACTTGTGTGCACATGTGTTAGTATTTTTCAAAGCATTTTACAAGGGTCAAAGTTAGCACACTAGGTTCCTAAATGCATATGCAAAAGTCATGTCACCTAGTGGCACTCGATAAACCGTTTAGCCAAAGATTTTC